GGACCTGAGACAAGACTGGTGCTAGTGGGTACTCCTTTCTGTTGTGAATAAATAATGGTGGATCCTCTTCACACACAGTGGTAACATTCCTCTTCACTAATCCTTACCTGTAACGGGCACTGCTTAATCTACCATTTGGTTTTATCTTTGGATAAAGTAATACACCCAAATAATGTCATTGAGATTTACAAGTCTTCCTAGAAATAAACTAACAACTCTATATAGAGTTTTGAAAGTAACTTCACTTCCAACCCTCTTGCCATCTTCTCCACCTGTCCTTGACCATCTCACCTAACAAGTGAGTTTTCCATGTCAGAGAATCCCATTTGCTACTTTGTATCTTATTCTGTGGCTCTCTTGTTCACTTCTTCTCACAGTTTGCATAAGAGAAAAAAATTAGTATTTCATGCAGGTCTTCATCATGTTTGAGATTTCCCAGTCAGTATTCCAAACATATACAGTTGTGCACCACAAAATGACATTTAATTTGATAATGGATTGTATATGGGACAGTGGTCTGATAAGATTTTACTGCCTAGTGACACTGTAGCCATTCTATTTTGTATAAACACATGCTCTGCTGTTCCCACAATGATGAAATCACCTTGTGAATCACTCTTCAGAATGTATTGCTACTTATATGTAAATATATTAACCGGGCCATTCCCTTACTTCAAATGAGATCTGATAAACTGCTATATTGTATCAAAGGTCAAAAATTCACTTAGCTCTTCTAATAGACTCCAAAATTCTTGATATTTTTTCCTGAATATTTTGAGACCTAATTATTCAATATCTTATGTTATTTAAACTAAAGATACAGTTTCAGAATAAATTTTAGCAAAATTAATTCCAGGTATATTCTTAGGGACCCTATGATATCTTTTTATGAGGGCTTTTGAGATAAATATTACTCTTCTGACTTGAAAAAATGGGAAGGTGGGAATTACTCAATAAGCTCACTCTGAAATAATGACAATTTTTTAAATCTTGACTTCAATATGGGAGCACTAACCAGGTGTGGCTATGGAGCATTAGGAATGTTACTAGTGCAACTGAGAAATTGAATTTTAAATTTTATTGAATTTAAATTAATTTAAACTTACACGTGTGGTTAGTGTTGCTGTATTTCACAGCACAGCCTTATATGTACTCAAAATGATGGAAAAATGGGTTTCTGGCTTTGTAAACAAAGAATCATGAAGTGGCTGTTAATTCTGGTCTTCTCTCTCCTTGTTTCTCATTTAGGTGAGGAAATAATTCAAAAGCAATTACTTATTTCTAATAGGGTGCCCTGACTATGGGACTATCCATACCCTAAGAACTACCATCACCTCATCTGAAACACTGAAAGACAAATTTCTACAAAAATAATTTGTTCAACATGTTTAAACAGATATGCTTGTTTCTTCTCTCATACAACTCAGATGCAGGAATGTTTAAAAGGTTCCAAATCATACCAATAACATGAGTGCATATTGTGGCTGAGTGTTTGTGGAAATATTGCACGTCTACCCAACTCATCACCTGTTAAGTCACATCTTTGTTTAATTTTCAAGAATGAAATGATTCATAGTCATTTCATTCACGGGAATTGGTGCCAGTTTATTTCTGGGAGTTCAATCGCCAGCTTCTGGAATTGAGACACAAAATATCTTATTATAAGCAGGCTATATGCAGGAGCTTTCAATCTTGTTTCTCCTTGGAGAAGTAGCAGTAATTTCATATTTGGTTTCATAAATCAATTTCCGGGAGAATATTTGTTGGCATCATTTTTTATATTTCCCACAGGTTTGATATGAAAAAAAAGTAGCTTGGTCATGTTCAAAGAGTCAGATTAGCCCTGGTAGTGTCTTTCCTGACTCCTCTACGGGGTCTACCTGATCACAAGGGGTACTTGGAGGTAGGCTGGACAGTGGAGTTGAAGAGTGATCTCCATAAAGCCCTAGTTTCATCATGTCCGTTTTGAGGTGCTGATGTTTGCTGCAAAGGTCATTGTCAGCCTGTATTCATAGATCTCCACACCCAGTCCAGCCAAACATATAAGGTGAATCCCACTGCAGAGGTAACATTTTTTTAAGGATGGAAATTAATATTAATGGCAGATTTGAAGGTTAAGAGAGAAGGAGAATATTCATTTTAAAAATTGCAGCATGTAGTTTGAGCACTCTCAAAAACGAAAGAGGCTTCCTGCCTGGAGTTCACATTGCTGAGATTGTATGGTTAGGAGCACAGAGGCACTTTCCATTCATGCTGTGGCTGCTTTCCATACTCCAATTCTGCAGACTCACCATGCACTTATTAAGCATCAGCTATGTACAAGGAACTGGGCTCAGGGTCATGGGAAGATTCATTTTCAGCCTACTTCACATTTTAAATGATTTTGAAAATGAAATTTTATTTAAAAAATTTAGATACACAGAAAAATCGAGAGACTAATACAATAATCTTCTATGTCTCCATCACCCAACTTTAAAAATCAGCAAGTACTTGCTGTACTTTCATACTTTATCCTTTCCTAATTATTGTTGCTAAATGTTTGAAGCCAATTCCAAACTTCATATCATTTCCTAACACATTCATCCATATCTCAAAAAAAAAAAAAATCAGCGTTTTGTTGCAAAACCATAGTGCCATAATCACACCAAGAAAACTAAGGATGTTTTCTTGGTATCCTCCAATAATCAGTCCACATAAAATTTTTCTGCTTATTAAAAAATTGCTTTAAAAATTGATTTGTTCAAATCATGAACAAAGGAGAGTCCAAACATTAACCCAAACCAAACCTATTTTCTATTGTATCAAAATATGTCTGTGTGTGTGTGTGTGTGTGCGCGCATGCACGCGTGTGTATGATATATTGAAGAAATTGAATCAGTTGTTCTCTAGTCCCTATACTGCCAAATTTTAAATGTTTTATTTATCTTGATCATTTACCTTGATCTTTTTTTTCTTCTATTTTCAATGATTTAGATCTAAAAGTTAACCAGATTCATATTCAACTTTTTTTGGCAAGCATGTGTCCTAAGTTGTGCTGTGCGCTACATGTTGTATCAAGTTAGGAGGCACACAATATTGATCATACCATTCTGTAAACACCTTCCCTCTCCCCCCAGAAGAGTTAAGGGTGACCTCAGGGAAACCATTTAACCCTAAAGAACCTCAGTTTTCTCATATAGATAATGTGGATAACAGTAGAACATACTTGCAGAGTTTGTTGTAAATGTTACATTATATAATCTTTATAAAGAACATAACACAGTGAGTGCCTGGTACCTTGAAACACTGAAAAGTCATTAACTATTATTACAACTAAGGCACATAAAGTGCTTGGTATAATACACTAATCTAGGAGACTCTTAATACTGTTATCTATTATTAATATCTTTCTAAATTATTTTAGCTGAATGACTAGGTATATTTCATTAGGGAAACATTATTTAAAGAATGAAATCCAAGAGATCCAGGCCAGAACACACTGAGGCCCTGAGAAATTTCTCTGGTAAATGTATTTTTAGGACTAGATTAGAAACTTCAAAGTGGCAGAGATTTATTAGTTTCTCTTTCCATAGTATGTAGCTCTGTGCATGGACCTCAATAATGGGTGAGTTGAATACACAAAACTCAACTTCAGATTGGCTGGTCCCTTATTGCAGTCTCCTGTCCCCACATATGATATCCATGTAACAGTCCCTTATGGCCATCTTGGACACCTGCCCCTGCCATTTCCACTGCTCAGATGACTTAGGCCCTTTGCTTACATGGGTGTAAGTTGAATGAATCCTACTAGGGTTTTGTCTCCCCTGTCTCTTCTGGGGGAACCTTTCTGAGACCATTCCACCCTATGTTGCTCTTTTCCTGTTTTCAACACCTGTGTCTCTTACTGGTTGCCCACACAATTTGATGCTTACTTACACTTTACAAAATTTTTGGTTGTTTTGATTAGTTATAATTTCTTACACTTTATTTGCTCCAGTTGAATTGTAAACTTCTTGAGAACCTACTGAAATAGTGTTTTCTTCCTTTCCAACTTCTACTCACCTCTTCCCAACACCCATCCCCAGTCCAAACACCTGGCACAGAAGTAGACACATATTAGAACTTTCTACAAATACTACTTGCTAATTTAACATTTCTTTATAGCATGTTTTTTCATTGTACTTTAAAACTCAAGGACATAGTCCTCAGTACACTGCCACAATAGGTTCACTGTGACTCTGTGCTCAAAAGCACTCTATGCATATCATGACCACTTATCACACTGCATTGAGATTGTCTGGTTATAGTCCCGTGTCCCCATTATATAGACAGAATGCTAGAAACAGAAATTATGGATCTTCAGCTCTACTAACCTAGGAAAAGGAGTGTTGGTTTGGCACATAACAGATATCAATCAAAGATCAATTTAAGAAATAGTGGATCCACCAGTTTGATGAAATTCATTTGTGCCCCCCAAAATAATTTTGACTGAATTTTTGGACTGGTGTAGCCAACAAATGAAGATGTTGGAACCATTTACATATGTAGGTCCAGTCCCCATGAAAATATAAAACATATTTTGAGGGAGCAGATAAAATTAGACCTGAAATTGAAATGGAAAATGACTAAAGAGAGACATTGGCTACTAATGGCTTTATTGTTCTACTCAGGAACATTATACAGCTTTCAAGATTTTAAACCAACCTAAAGAAAAGTTCTAACAGTAGATTTCCAGGCAGGAAGTCAGTTATTTCGAGGCATCTTAGTGCTGCTTAATTCCGGCTCAAGAGGCGGTTCTCCATCTCTTCTGGAATGCCATTCTTGCTTCCACTTCTCCATCCAACAACAAAAACAAGGCAACTTCAAGCCCTAGGAATACAGAAGACAAATCCCCTCTGCTGGTGTTTTAGACAAATTTCTTCTACTGTTTGGAGTGGAGCTCAGCAACCAGGTTGAGACCATATTCCACACATCTTCCCCTGAATCCTGAGTCCAGGAGTCAATTAGACATGTACGTCTGTGTTGGCTTCAAGAGAAGAGTCAACTTTTCAGTATTTTGTTCTGATGTCTTCTGGTCCAATGGCCTGGCCAAAAGTAAGGAAAACGTGTTACCCAATTATCCCCCAAAGGGTGACTGTCTTCCTATTTTACTCTGGCCTGGCTTATTAAAAAAAAAAAAAAAAAAAGGAGGAGGAGGAGGAGGTGGAGGAGGAGAAGGAGAAGGAGAAGAAGAAGAATTATTTTGACTGACTTTTGGTATTGGTTTAGTCATCAAATTAAGATTTTTGAACCATTTATATAGGCCCATACTTATGCAAATATAAAACATATTTTAAGGGAGCAGATAAAGATAGACTAGCTGTCTTTAAGAGCTGGGAAATTGGTATGGGTGACTTAACATAATTTAGCTAAAAGTTAATTCTTCCCTGCCAGGAGCCACAGCTGATTTACTTAGGGAATTATTGCTATTCATTGTTCATTGAGTTTTATTTTTATGAATTTCCACTGATGTAGTATGATGTGTTACTAGGAAAAAAATATTATGATTTTAATTACATTTTGGCATCTTAAAAGAATATTGCACACTGTTTAACATCTGCAATCAACAGATGTTTAAACACAGATTCCTCAATGACTAAAATTTGACAAAATGTGTCATTGTTGGAACAGCTTAAAATTCTAAATATACTTCTAGGAACATGATACAGGCAGATGAATTACTACTTGTATGTGTTTTATATTAAATATTAAAACTTTATATATCCCATCTGTCTTGGAGATGACAGGTTTCAGGGAAAGAAGAAGTACAGCCAAGAGACATTTCAATCCTACCACACCAGAGATATCCTGCAAGTGGGGTTGTGTCTATGGTCACTGTCAACTGCAGTGGGGACCCATTTTGAAGTGTTACTATTTATTATGGTTAACTCCAGAGGCTAGCAGAAGCACAGCTGTGAGGCAGACAAGCTGTCCCTTCTGCTTCTCCTTTGAGGACCCTGCTTGTCTCTTGACTCAGATCCCCAGCAGCCTTGATGAGGATCTGTGTTTAATACCTTAGGTTTATCTTCAAAGTAATTAATCTACCTTCAGTTAATTCAGGCAAAGATCCACTCACATCATTTTGTGTGTGTGTGTGTGTGTGTGTCTGTCTGTCTGTCTGTCTATCTGTCTGTCTATCTGTCTGTTTTAGCAGGCATAGGGATGAAGAGGGGACAGGATGGCTCCATTAGTGTTTCATCAATCATCTGTAACGGTTAGTGGCTTAAAGAAATCCAGAGCTAAACATAAATTTTATTTCAATCACAACTTTCAATAACTCACCCCCATTGACCCCTTATGTCAGTTGATAACTGAGGGCTTAATGGAGAATTGCTTTCTGTCATCTTGTCAGACAAATGCCAATGGAAATCCTATATCCATGTCAGTCGTTCAGGAGGCTGTAGCAGAAGAAATGAGAAGCCCACATTTTCTGTCCCTGGATGATGAAGTGTTCATAGTTACAGGAACCGTAAGGACTTTGGGATTCTGATTACTATCCAAGGCTTTCAATAGACACATTTCAGCCTGAGCTCACGGTATCATTCTGTTCCATGTCCTCCAATAGCTTAAAATTCTATTAGAAGAGAAGATTCAAATATATCAAATAATAAAATAATTTGACTAATAGGGATGATTAATTTGATGTGTCAACTTGGATAAGGTATGGTGCACAGATGTTTGGTCAAATACCAGTCTAAATGATGCTATGAAGGAATTTATAGGATGTAATTAATATTTAAATCAGCAGATTTTGAGTGGAGTCTACAGTATGGATGGGCTTCATTGAACCAGTTGAAGGCCTTGAGAATAAAGACTAGTGTTTCCCAAAGAAGAATGAATGGGGCCTCAAAACTATAGTAAAGAAATCCTGTATAGAAAGCCTAAATTTCAACCTGGCCTGCCCTGTGAATTTTAGATTCAAGACTATAACATCAATTATCTGAATTTGAAGCCTGCCAGCTTGCCCTACAGAGTTGGACTTGCTGGCTCCCACAACCGCATAGGGCAACTTCTTGAAACTTTTCTCTCTGTATGCACACATATAGAAATACACAGGTATTTCTGTTTTTCTAGAAAACCCTGACTAATACTGTCATGTGTAAGTAACATCTGGGTTCAGAGCAGGAGACTATAGCCAGAAGCAGGGAGGGCAAGCTTCATGGAGAGATAGTCTGAGTTAGGCTAGGGGAAGTGCAGTGCAGTGGTCCATTAAGAAGTACAAAGACCAAGGAGATTGGGCTTATGCCTTGGAGGAGTCAATGGAAAATTGGGAAGTTACGTGTTGGAAAACAACGAGAAATAAAAGTGGAAGGATCTTTGGAACCCCAAAACTGATAAATAGAAATGGCTTATGTATTATTCTTCCATGCAGGAGATTTAGACAAATTTATTGTATATTTTGTAACAACAAAGCCTACTATTATGTGTGATTATAAAGCACCAATAAAAATTCTCCAGAAGAGAATTACTGCACTTTTCATAAAGGAGTCATCGATTCTGTAGCACTCTGACAGCAAAGTCCAGGTGGTCTTCAGCTATCCCTGTCCATGACCATGTCCTCTATCCTTCCTGTTCATCCCTAGAGGCATTTTCTCTTCCTGCCAAAGAAGAGGGATGCCTGCCAAAGAAATGGAGCAAGAATTTCATCAAGGAGACCCAGAGAATGGATGAGCATGAGAACACTGACAACATTGAGGAGAATAGAAAGAAGCCTCTCTTCTGAGAGAACCGAGAGTGTCAGAAAGTCCAGGAGAACCAGAAGTCCAGTGTACAGAAGGATGAGTGAGCATTCTTGTTTCTGCAACCACCATAGATCACTGGCTCTTTCCAGAGGTGAGTCAATGAATGAGCTGTGTCCATGATCCCCTGGTGAGAAATGGGACTTTTGTAGATGACCCTGTCTCCTGGAGAAGTTGGCACCAGACTGAGAGGGTGAGATAGATTAATGAACATTAAAGCCCATGTGATTAGAAAAATAAGAGAGGGAAAAACAAAGAAAAAAGAAAAATCAAAACTGTCCATTCACCACTTGAGAATTACATACGGTAAAAAGTGGCATTCCCCCCTTCTAAATCTCCAATTCTAGTGCTTACAGTGATTATGAATTTCTTTTTTCTTTTTTTGGTTCCAAGGGTGTATCCAAAGGGTGTTTAACCACTGAGCCACATCCCCAGCCCTTTTTGCTATTAACTTTGAGATAGGGTCTCACTAAGTTGCTTAGGGTCTCGCTAAATTGCTGAGGCTGCTCTTGAACTTGTGATCCTCCTGCCTCAGGCTCCCAAATGGCTGGAATTATGGGCCTGTGCCATGGCACCCAGCTGTGAAAATGAATCTTATTCCAGAAACTCAGAAGCATAAAAATACAGCATTTTATTTTTTATATAAAATTCAACTCAATTCTGGGCCTATAGCTTCTCTTATGAATTCCATCTTAGCCATTATGATCACCCTCAGGATGACCAAGGTCCCAGGATTTTGTGTAACATCAAACCCAAGGGACTTCTCTTCACCCATTGCACTTAATCAACTATACTCACTATTTAGATGTCCATGGTCTCAGATGGCATGGCCTCTTGTGGTGCTGGTTCTGCAGCTGCTTCTCTGAAAGCAAGATGTAAGGGTTTGGAATCCCTAGGTGGGTCTGAGGTCTTCCTCCTCTTGAGAGTGCTCTGAGACTCAGACTTCTATCCCATTTCAAACACCTTCTCTTCTCTCTCCAGCATCTCGGGCAGCAGGTGTCATCCCCTTGATGGGTTTAGGTCTTACAAAATTCAGCACCAGAATCGGAAGTGTCTTGCAGACAACTCTGGCTTCTGGCCCTAAGATAAACATCTTCCTTATGGCAAGAGGCCACAAAAAGCCTGACCATCTGCTTACAATGGTCAGAGGAAAGAAACGCAGGGAGGCCAAATGCAAGCTAATACCCTAAAAATTATGCTACCACATACAGTTCCAGTATCTTTCTAGAATTTTCTTGTACTTACAAACCAAAATATCTACATATAAGCTTTCCTTTTAAAAAAGGGGAGGGGCATCATAAGATATATACAATTTGCAAATTGCTTTTTTCACTTAACAAGGATATCTTTCTAGACTCTCCTTATTTTATGCAATAACATTGGGTATTACTCCATTGGTGGGTATTCTGGTGATTTCTGTTCTTTTGCTGTTACAGATAAGGCTATATTGTGCTCATAGAAGCATGTCTTTGTGTAATTTTCTACCATTACCTCCTAGAAATGAAATGAATAATTAGCAAGTGGCTGGTAGATATTAAACACTACGTTGAAAACTGATGCATGGTTCTCCATTTCTCAGACTGTGGGTCCTAGCCAGTTCTGGTGGGTTAGTTAGCACATGCTAATTTTCAAGAAAAACAGAGCCCTAAAATGAGTTTTTCAAGATCCTAATCTTCATGAGTTTAATAAAGGTGGAAGAAGTGGTGTAGAGACTATTACAAACATCTCCTTAGAGTGCTTCAGTAAGTAGGACTCTTACTATGAGCACTTAGGCATTAAGAACCTGGGCTTTATAACTAAGCATCAAAGGGACCTTTGTGAAGTAATTTTTCACTTTAGATCTCGGGTGGATAATTTGTAAAATGGGACAGACAAATGATCTCGTAGGAACTTTCTGAAGTGATAGTGCATATATACATATATTATATATTCTCTGAGTCCATAAATATACAATGTCTTGGTCTAGTAACTACCATCTGTCTATCGGTACATTGCAGACTTTGGGCTGCATTGACCCTGCCATCCCTCTTCAGTCTCCTATTCTACACTTTAGCAATACTAAATTTGTGTTAGCTTGTGTTCCCCTGGAAGCAGACCTTGGGATAAGGATTCAAGTTGAAGAGGTTTATATTTGGGAAGTGAAAGCAAGACCAGTAAGGAATAAGGAGTGTGATGCTACAAAGGGATGTGGTCTATCTGAGGTGTGTTATCAAGCCAGCTGTCAACAAGCTTAATCCCTAAGGGCAATGCCAAGAAACACATGCTCCAACCTGAAGAACAAGGGAGCTGGGATGTTTATACACCAACTCCCATCAGCACACCCTGATGTGCTAATGTGCTAATTGCCAGCACATCTAGCCCACCATACAAAGTCAGAGCTGCTCCCTTGGCTTAGAGAAATGCCTTCAGGTCAACAGTGCAAGAATAGCTCTCCAGAACACAGAGAGCACATATGGGCACAGTATGCCCTATATCTGCTGTATAACTACCATGATTTCCCTTCACACCCATGGTGGCTTATTCCTCTGTGCCTTTCTCACATTGTCCTTTCTTCCTCTTTCTGATTTATTTATGATTCTTAGACTTTCTAGACTTGTGTCCTACCTTTGTTACCTGATAGCTGACTGAGTTTGAACACATTACTTAAGCTCTCTGTGTCTTTATTTCCTGATTTGTACCAGAGACATAGTGATCATTCTTATCTCATAAAACAGCTGTTAGGATTAAATATCAATGGTGGAAAGCACTTATCACAGTGACCATCACTTGTTGAGAGCCACAGCCGAAGGGGCCCCAGCAAACTTCTAGCTGCCAGCAAACTTCCAGCTGCCACGACTTGCTCTTGTTCATTAATGTCTCTACATAATTTAATATATGTGTTTAAATCTTCATGTTTCCATGGTCTAATGACTTCTCTGCACCAA